GCGGGGTCCGGCGAGGGCGCGGCCGACGTGAAGCCGAGGGCAGCCGCGCGGGGGCCGAAACCCACCTGGCGGGCGAAGTGGTTCGGAAGACCCTTGTAGAGGTGTGCGCACGTGCAGCGGCGCTCCTGGCCAGCCCGGGCTTGCGCCGCTCGCGCCGGAGACGGCGACGGCGCTGCGGTGCTTGCTGCGGCCCCGCGGCGGTCCTGCCTTCGAGCGCCCGGCGCGAGGCGACCCGGCCGCCGCCTCGCCCCCGTCGCGCTCAGAGCCGCGGAAAGCTCCGATGGAGGCGAAAGGCGGGCGGCGCTGCAGTCGGCGGCGGCTGTGTCGAGCGCTGGCGGGTGGTGCTGGCCGAGCCCGCAGCTATGTCTGGTCTGCCCTCTGCAACCTCTCGGCCGCGCTGCATAGGGGGGTTTGCCCGCCGACGCGGCCGACGCCCTGGCGCTCTTCAGGCCTCGCCCCGCTCCGCCATCCTCAGCCGCCTGGCGGGGGGGGGGGCCCTAGCTAGAAACGCGCTGGCGCTGTGACGGCCTCGCCCTGCTGGGCTCCCCGCTGGGAGAGCCGCTGCCGGCGGGCAATGTGCCGGGCGAGATCGACGGGCGCCGGCTGGGCGTGGGCTGCGCAGGCAGCGCGGCGGTGCGCTGCATTGAGACCGCGGAGAAGGCGGTGGCGTTGCTTCAGGAGCTCGCCCAGCCGCCTGCGCTGGCCTTGCCCCGCTTCCAGGGCGGCTTCGGCGGCGGGGCTCCGCCCGCGGCTCTGCGGCGCGGGCGAGCTCGCGCGCCAGCTTCGCCCCAGCCTGCCTGCTGGCGCCCGGGCAGCCGCGGCCGCCTGCGACGAAGCCGCGCTCGTGGCCTACGAGGAGCTCGCGCGCCTTGGCCCCCCGCAGGCCGCGCGGCGGGCGCGGCGTCGCCTGCCGTGCGATTGGGCGGCCAGGGCCTCCGGAGCCACGCCGCGCTGGCGCCCGCGGCGTGGGCGGCCCCTCAGGCGCAGAGCCTGGCGGGGGCCTGGGCTCGGACAGGCTTGGAGGAGCTGGCTGACTTGGAAGCCGCCCGGCTGCCCCTGGCGGCTGCTTGCCGGGCGGCGCTGGCGGAACTGCTGCCCAGCGCTCGCCCGGGGGGCTGCCGCCCTGGGGGCTGCTTGC